TTTTAATTAAAATTCAGTGCTATTTTAACATATTTAGCCATTTGGATAGTAAAAGCTAAAAATGTTTTGTAATGCAGAGAAATAAACAAATACGATACACAGTAACTGTAGCAATCTGATTTACAACAAACAAACATTCCTAACCTAGTTTTCAGCAGAATCATATAGATCAGACACAGTTTCTTGCGTAGCAATGTCTTGTGGTCCAAGGATCACAAATTTACCATTTACAAGGCAAAGGAAAAACACCTTAAAACCCATGCAGTTATAAAAAGCTTTTTTCAAGCGCCACATCTGATGATAACTTTGTCTCTTCTATGAGGACAATCTAACTGGATCATCTGTGAAGCAGCTATTCTGATGCAGAAACCAGTGAAGCTTTCCTTAACCATTCAAGTTTAAGTCCCTTGTTGATTAGCGGATCACGACCAAATTTTCAGCAAGGGACACAAGTATTGGCTTTAGTTTTCCCTCTCTCTGTCCACCAATCCTCGCCAACATGGATGCAGCACTCATGTCCCCTGTTCAGTATCAGTACGGTGCTCACTACAGAAAAAAAAGTTACAAGACACACTAAATATAATCCACTTACAGTGTCAATAATTCCGCCAACTATTTCCAGGTACTCACTTTTCAAAGTCACCAACAGATTGCGAGCCTATAAAGATCTTGGTTTACTGTGCCAGGTCTGAGTGCACCCTCAGCAGTAAGACTGTACTTTTTATTAAAGACTTTGCCATAAGAAACACAGTTGTGCAACAGCTTGACTGTCCTTAGATCAAAGTATAAAAATCATTTATTTTTTTTTTAAAGAAAAATTTCCCTTACAGAAATCCTGTCAGTCTTAGTAACATTCTCACTATAAAACGTCCTCCATCGGGGCTGGGAGCAAATAAATACAAAGTGCCAAAGTCAGCGAGTAAATGGGATTCAACAAGAAGAGACACAAAGTCGCCATTTACTCCTCAAAAATCTGGAGCAGACGCTTTGGCATTTACAATAACATCCTTTTTTAGCATGTATTCAGCTGCGAGTTTAGCCATGGACATGAACTGTAAATCCCATCCTATTAACAGGACAATTAGAATTCCTGCCATTAAATCCCCTTTACCCCCCTGGGGCTCAGGGAAGACAAATGAAATAAACTTAGTTCTACAATCTAAACGTTGTGATACAACAGTCTGTAAAACAGTATCTTTTGCACAGACCAAAGTCGGTACAAAACACAGGTACACTTTCTCCTGAGTAAAAGTTATCAAAGTCAGTAAAATCCTACCCTGGTTTCAACACATAAAATAAGAAAACAATGGAAACAGAAGCTTCAGCTCAGTGGAACGCCAAGTACCAAGTGTCTCTGTCAGCGTAGTGATATTTCATAGATATTAGGACAGGCACACAGTCGTTTTGTTGTGTGCTTCATATTACACCGGGTATAATAGGTATTTATGGCCTTTTGTTTTTACAATAACCTCTCAAGGACATAGAGCTGAGCAAAGTTAAAATTCAGGTTACTTTGTGATATATCAGTTGCATTCAGTGAGTTACAGAAGCTCCACGGCATTCTAATTCTTCCATCACTTCAAAGGTATAACAGACTCTGCTGAGCACTGGAACAAGTCTGTTGCTTGCCAGTGGAGCTCAATACCCAACCTTTGATATATGTTCTCAGATCCCAAGCACCAGAGAGGCTAAGGTCTTTTTTATAGCAGGTCTTTCCCTTAACCATTCATTAACCCTACTCCGTGAACTAGACTTCAACCTGGGCCCTCATTTTTAGTATCATCTAAATTATGGTTTACAATACAGTACCTATTTTCAAACAGGTTAGTAATCAAACACGTTGATGTTCTCACTTCCCATTATCGTTACTATTTGTGAAACTACCACCAAAAAAGCTCCAAGGATGTTCAATGGCTTTGGCTACTATCCACATACTTCACAACAAAGAATTCATCAACTAAATAAAAAAAAAGAGTGAGAAAAAGAAGTATCACTCTCCCTTTCTTGATGGGAAATTAGGTTACAACGAAATGAAGTCCAAGATTGGACTTCACAAGCCAAAAAAATCAGGTTCCAAATAAAGCCGAATTGTGGGAAACTCAAACGAAGAATGTAGGGCACAAAAAAACTGAGAAGCTCATGAGGCCAAATACCTACTTTACTTTGAAACATCCAGCGATACAGCCTAGGCTTAAAAGGTGCTTTGAAATCCTGGTCCAACTGATTTGTGTAATTGGGCAGCGTTTCTGTGAAGATGAGGAAATAAATCTTAATGTCTCAGCCTGGTGATTTCTTCTCAATACTCTTTTGCTTATATTACCTAAAGATCTCCAACTGCTCCTGATTCTCAAGCTCAGTGGATCCTCCAAAACTCCAGTAGATACAACAGAGAAAAAGCAAGTGCAAACTATGAGAAAAGAGTAAAGTGGAACTGCAGCATTGTGGAATTTCCTCAGCTAATTGATTTTCTCTCTGTGTTAACAAGACAATACATAGTATCATTTATGAAGACAATGTATGCAGAATATCCAGATCACCACCCATGACAAAGCAAGCTATGTTGAAAGAGCTTTCCAGCCTAAATCATTTCATGCATATTCATAACTTGATTAAAATCTTAATTTGTAAACTTACGAGAAACAAAACATGCACAGAATCGGCTATACGTACGTAAACCAGAGTCTGAACATGACACACACACGCAAAAGATGTCAGCATTAGTCAACACTGTACATTACGTGCGTGTAATGTATACGTATGTTAGCCTGCAGATAAACATTTATCCCCAAGGGAGGCTGCTAATGAGACTGTGCTGTAGGGAAGATATCCAATTATTCTGAATGACATTTATATTTTAATCACATCACACTCTCTGAAGAGCTCGAGGTTTGATGAAGCAATCCTTGAAAGACTGTCCTTTTAATCAATTAGACAGCTCTAGAAACATCAGCGATATGCTGTTGACAAGTCATTGTGCTGAATATTGTACAACAGAAACAAATTCTTCCATCTTCCTACCAAGACAACACTGCAGTCTTCTAAAACTTCTGAAACAGCTGAAAGTTCTCCTTCTAGGAGATACCTAGAACAGAATAACATGTATTTTGCTAAGAAACTAAGACATCCCTACTGGTCTCACTCTGAGCTACCATTCAATGACTTCTTTTCAGGACAGATGAAGAACGTTGTTTTAAGGGCATCACTCCTGTGTAAAAAAAAAATCAGACTTGCTCACCAATCTTTTACAATTGCCTTAACTGAATAAAACCAGGTCAGTCAAAAGAATTTGCTTTCATCAAGCATTCAGTAAGTGACAAATGCCATTGTCCACATGGAGCAGAAGAAAGACTGGCCACGTTTAATATGTTTTAGCATTAATCAGGCAGCTTAAGATGCTCCTGGTCATAGGAATAAGTACAAAATGAAGAAAACAGAGATGCAAGACCCTAATTAACTCATTCTTCAAATTACTGTTTGATTTTTTTCTATAAACAAAGTACATGCTCACACTTGTTATATTAAACATTTTCTACTTCAGACAACTTCAGACCATGTCTACTTCTGAGACCTTACATGAAAAATTTCACTTTAAAAAAATCTAGTTCTGTACTCACAGATATTTCTTAATAAATAAAAGACTAAACAAACAAAAATATGTAGTGAGAACTGATTAACATCAAGGTTTAATTAAAAAAGTGTTTGAAACTGCATAATGTAATAACGTAAAGGACAAACTATACAGAGAGAATTTTCTTTGCCTAGTAAGTAGCAAATCATCTATGCTTACTAGGATCATTTCAACTCAGTCAAAAAATATAAGGCTAAATATTTTGAAAACTAAAAATTAATTTGTTAATGTTAAGGAACCAAGAAAAACTGAAGGACAGAACAGAAATCTCACTATTGTCCTTACAATTTGTAACTTGTGGCTTGAGATCTCTTTTCCTGAAGGTACTCAAAGAACATCAACTTACCTTCCCAGTAAAGTGTGCATCAAGCATGTTTTTGACTGCAATGAGTTGTGTTTGGTTTGTTGGCTTTTTGTTTTGCCTTTTTTTTTTTTAACTCCTGCTTCTGAATTTCAGGCAGCTGTCATTCTTCTAATAAATCTTTCCTAACTAATCCCTCCTTCAATACTAGTAAATCCTGAGGGCTAAAATGCCCTTCAGCATAGATATTTGTAAAGACACAGAAACTTGAGTTAATTTCAATACCTAAATCCATCTTTAATTGCTAAGCGAACACTTAGCAATGGCTAAAACCACATCACCGAGAACTGAGTCAGTTGTTATCATCATCCTCCCTGATTGCCTGTTGAATTCATCCAAACCAGTACATAACCATCAAAAGCGTGTATTACTTGGAATGGTGTGCATTTGCATAACAGAAGATAACTTCGATAACAAGAATAGATTTTCACCTTTGGTGGAATGACTAAAGTTGATGATTATGGCAAATGGGGGGAAAAAAGGTTGCCAGTCTTAAGTATAGAAAATACGACTGCTGTTGCCGTGAAATACATTCAAATTGGCAATACATTCAATTTCAGCAATCATCAACATAAGTTTTCACACCTCCATTTTTATGAAATGACATTTATCACCAAGCACAACTACAACATGGAATATGCACCTTTTTCTTTTGCATTTTATGATACAAAATGTGCCAGTATATTACTCTGAGTTATATTAATCAGTAGGTTGAAGCTAAAAAGACATCTGGGAGGCACAGATGGTTCACAATTGGCAAATAACTACAGAACCATTATCTTCAAGGTCAGGTTTCTAACACTACAAGGGTTAGTAGTGACCCAAAGTCATCAACACCTTTCCAGAATGAACTGATACTCTTCAGTTCGGTTCCTGGTGGACAAATATCTATGTTGCAGCTGGCACTGACAACAGAGATGATCTCAGACCAAGCCTCAACTCACTGATGTTAATAGCATTCCTTTCCAGGGGAGGTGGGAACCTTACAAGCCTTTTCATTCCTAGAAATACCTTCTGCAGTAGAGCTTACATTCCTGCAGCCCTGATTCCAGTCCCAGGGCTTCCAAATTCACCAGTAATTGGTCATGCTTGAAGAGATATTTCAATGAACTCACCCCTCCATAAAAATCCTTGCCCTGGCTGTCTACAAAAAACACAGAAAACACAGTATTTAAACTTATATAACAAAAAATTTACAAAATAAGAGTAACTGCCTCTTTGGAAAGACTGAGAGAAATACTGAATACTATTTCAATAACAAAAGATTACTTTGGTGTTAAGATTATCTGAATATAAAAGCCATTCTTCTGGTCTAGCTAGAGATTATATTTTTGCAGCCATGACAAAGAAAGAGCAGTTCTTTATAAAACTAAATACCAACCTGGATGTGAATTTAGAATACTACATGTTCGGTACTTTTAGATGTCAATGAATGCTCCCCCAATGACCTCTTACAATGTCAGAATTACTCCCCGGAATTCCAGGAAGGAAGAAGCTGAGCTATGTGAAAAATGTGAAAAGCGCTTCTGTAGTCCTTTGCCATATGGCACTATGGTGGTTCTACCCAAAGAATTTCCTTTAGCCACCCCTCAGTTGTTTTTAGAACCATAGCATAAAGAATAGTGAAAATTACAGAATGTTTTAGAGAGGAAATGAGGACAGAAGACAAGCATAACCTAGAGATTACTACTTATAGCGGGGCATGATTTACATATCTTCATATAGCTTATTACCATGATATCTCTTACTGGATGGTGTAAGTGATGAATTACACATGCAATTGTAATAAAGGGAAAGGTTCTGATGTAGCATCAGTTTCAGAGGTCTTTGCTCACCTTGTAATTCCATATATTCCAGAAAAGAGTTCTGTTGAAAGGAACAGGTCTACTTTCAAAGTAAGATGCAACTGAACACAAAGGTATCAAAAGATACCTTACAGGTTTTTGAAGGTACCAAAGTCTACCCTGAAAGGAAGAGGATGACACTTACCAAACGTGCTGCAAATCAAAAGATTTGCATCGATATTCAAGAGAAATGAGCACTGAGGAAAAACTCAAATACCAGTAAATTGGGCAAAGTTAGTCATTAACCATGAGAGGTTCAGAAAGGAATTGCATCAAAGCATTCCAGTACCACCAGCTGTAAGTCGCTATCACGGCTTAATAGATGCTCTATACTATTACTGCCTGCACCTGTGACCAACAGGATCCCTGGTTAACTAGACAAATGAGTAAACAGTAGCAGAATCTGATGTAATTTCTGGGATACTTCAGAGATCACAAAGATTGAGACTACTCATCTTTAAACATTAAGCAACTGAATTGCAAGCTTACGCGAAGATCGTAACTTTTCATTCTTCAAATTAATGGAGAACACAAACTGCCAGAAAGATGAAACAGGTAGAGCCCTGGGAAGAAAGAGGGAAACCTGCCTGAAGTATAGAGCACAAAACAATACCTAACTGCTCTCTCTTAAAGAGGGCAAAAACAAAGAGTGTTCCCGCAGCGACAGCTGCACATCTTTCAGCAACTAGATTTTCATGACTTTCCTTCCTACATAGCAGCGTGCTGATATGCATCGCAAGCCCAGCTACAACACACGACATCTCACGATCAGCCCGAGGTCCTTCCTCAGCCCCGAGCACCGGGGCCGGAGCGGCCCCGCTGAGGGTGCCTGCCCCGGGGCTCACCCACTGCGGGCTCCCGCTGCTGCAAGCCAGCTGTTGGGCGCACTGACAGCCTTGGCAGAGATGAGACCTCACAGCAACAACTATAATCGTCCAAAGGAAAACAGAAGCGGGTTTGGTTTGTTGGTTTGGGGTTTTTTTTTTGTT